CATCCTAAAATTCATATGGAAGTACAAAAGACCTTGGATAGCTAAAGCAACGCTAAGCACTAAGAGCAATGGCGGGGGGATTACTATACCAGATTTTAAGCTGTATTACAGAGCTGTAGTCTTAAAAAAAAGATTGTATTGGCACAAAATAGACCCATAAATCCATAGAACAAAATTGAAGACCCAAATATGAGTAAATGCAATTTCAGCCACCTGATATTTGACAAAGGGCCCAAGAATATTAACTGGAGGAAAGACAGCATGTTCAACAAATGGTGCTGGCAAAACTGGATCTCCACCTGTAGAAGAATGAAACTAGATCCTTATCTTTCACCTTGCACAAAAGTCAATTCCAAATGGACCAAGGACCTCAATGTAAAGCCTGAAACTCTGAAACTGTTAGAAGAAAACTTTGGGAAAAACCTGCAAGATATAGGAAGGGATTTTCTAAACCGGACATCAATTGGTCAGGAAACAAGGTCAATAATTAACAAATGGGACCTCATTAAACTAAAAGCCTTCTGTACATCAAAGGAGGCAACCATGGAAGTGAACAGAAAATCCACAGAATGGGAGAAAATCTTCACCAGCGACGCATCTGACAGAGGTTTAATATCCAGAATATATAACGAACTCAAAAAACAGAGAATCAAGACAAGAAGCAACCCAATTAAAAGATGGGCTAAGGAGCTGAACAGAGAGTTCTCAAAAGAAGAAGTAAAGATGGCTATGAAACATCTTAAAAGATGTTCAACATCACTAATAATCAGGGAAATGCAAATTAAAACCACTTTAAGATTTCACCTTACCCCAGTCAGACTGGCTAAGATCAAGAGAACAAATGATACCAAATGTTGGAGGGGATGTGGGGAAAGGGGAACACTCATCCACTGCTGGTGGGGCTGCAAACTTGTTCAACCCCTATGGAAAGCAGTGTGGAGAACTCTTAAAAAACTACAAATGAACCTACCATTTGAGCCAGTTATACCACTCCTTGGCATATACCCAAAGAACTCATCCTATCACAGAGACACTTGTACATCCATGTTTGTTGCTGCTCTTTTCACAATAGCTAAGAGATGGAAGCAACCTAAGTGTCCCTCGGTTGACAAGTGGATAATGAAAATGTGGTTCATTTATACGATGAAGTTTTACCCAGCAATAAAGATGAAATCATCAAATTTGCAGGTAAATGGATGGAACTAGAAACTTTTACTAAGTGAAATAACAAAGACTCAAAAAAAATTGACATATGTTCTCCCTCATATGTGAATCCTAGAACCAAACCCTGATAAGTGAGTACGTATCCAGACATAACTACAGGAACGAGGATAATGTAAAGGAACCAGGGAGGTAAAGGAAAAGAAAGAACCTGATACAGAAGAACAGTAGGAAACAAGCTTTAATAAGGGAGATATGGATAAAAATTGGGTTAGTTTAAGTAAGGGGGGGAGGGAAGGCCATACAAGGAACCTAGAGGATAAAGGTAAAGAAGGAGCTCAAGAGAGGTAGGACTGTAGGAGAAGGGTATTATTAAGGGAGAAAGTGGAGAATGGGGGCACCTTAATTGGGGAAACCATGATGGAGGGATGAGTCAATGTTAGAGATAAATAATGCCTAGGTAGTTTTAAAAACTGGAGGGAACCATATTGCTCCAACAACCTACTGACAAATTATACATAGCAGATCAAGAAATATATGTTTAGGTAAGGGTTATCTGAGAACAATTGGTCTTTGCCCAAGATTTATCTACATGACACACAGTAATTAAAAGTGCCTGACTGGTGGAACTAACCTTCTTGGTTGTTTAACAGACATACTTTGAGGCCAATAATAATTTGGTCAGAGGGGACATAATGGACAGTTTTTGCTCCTTTCCCTCCTCAGTCGACTAGTTCCAGGGGACTATGAGTATCACTCAAAATGTCCTGTAATTGTGGTGGGTCACCTGTCCTCTTGATCAAGGAGTCCGAGAAGACCACACCAGATAGGCTTGAACCAGTCTACAAAGAGGAGGGTCAACACAGAGGAATCATTTCCTCTATGCTTCCAAGCAAAGCCAGCCATGGTAGAGCAGGACCTATGACTTATCTTCACATAGGTGGAACTGGTAAAAAGAAAGGAGCCAGGGCCTCCTCCCAAGCCCATGTGACTCCTGAGGAACAGATCCTCAAACGACCTTAAAAGTAAAAATAATCGGTTTATCGGGACCAATGGTATGGCCTTAAACACCCAAAAAGAAAGTATAACCAAAGATTAAAGGAGCCAATATAATTTTTTGAGTCCATATGTATAGCTAAATGCTACATAACAAGCAACAATGCCAGATAGGAGATACCTTCTTTTGAGTTGTTGGCCAGGGTGGTCTAAGAGACTCCCAGATAGTAACCCAGTATAGAACTGGGAAAATGAACAGCAGACCCCAATCTTATCTAAAGGAATATTGACAACTGATTGCTGCTAGATGAGGAACAGCTGACCCTCCTAAAACAAAGATCTCTAGATAGACTGACGAGATTTACCAGATGAACAAGTAGTGGGGAAGGGCTCGGGGTGCCAACAACACAGTAGACACTAGCAGGGATATCAGAGCATAAGGACTCTAGTAGGGGGAGGGAGGCTATGGGATGGTGCCATCTTGAAAGTGGGTATATACTTGAATAAGATGGTTTGTGATGTTCTGTATGATATACACACACATGCACAAAAATAATCAACAAATTTTTTAAAATGTATTATATTTGAGGAGGAATCATGGCAGTTCACATCATGCTAATTAGTAGAAGTGATAAACATTACCACTGAAGTCTATCTGATGACTTTATAGACATTGACAGTTACCAAGGATCCAAGTACAACCGATTATGACTATTAATAATCAGATACATACAGATTAGAGATGCATGTGCCAGCATCTCAATGTTAGTAGCAGAAAGAGCAAGTCTTTCTGCAAGGAGCAATATATTCTACAATGAAATGGAGATCTTTTTTAAAGGTTAAACCTCCTTCAATTTTATGTCTTTCAGGGCTTATACTGAGTTCAATATTGTATAACTGTATTAATTCAACTGTGAACCTAGAAACTTGTACCCACTTGTGAAAGAGATGTACTCTTGCTCTGGAGTGTGTTAATGAATATGTTAAAGCTGTAATGAAATGCTTCTTCTAATCCTATAGTTATTAAAAATTAAAAAAAAAGAAGGTCCCCAGTGCCGGGAGTGGTGGTACATGACTTTAATCCCAGCACTTCGGAGTCAGAGACAGGTTGATATCTGTGAGATTTAGGGCAACTTGTCTACATAGTGAATTGCCTGCCAGCTCCAGTTGGAGCTATAGGGAGACCCTGTCTCAAAAAGACCAAAAAAAAAAAAAGGTCAAATGTTCCCTGGTAATCTTGGGGACAGACCTGTCAACAGCATATTATAGGCACACACCTGTAGTCCCAGGTACTTTGTAGGCTCAGATGGAAGGGTCACTTGAGTCCAGGAGTTTTAGGCCAGCTGGGATGACATAACTAGGCTTCAACTCAAAGAAAAAAATTAAAATTAAGTCCCAGTATTTAAAACTAAGCCACTTATCACAACATTTCTGTTTCTGGTACATTGCAAAGATTGGGTAAAACCTGGGAGGCTCTTAAATCTGAAATACCAACCATTTCCAGTATACAACCAACTTCAGGGATTTAAGGTATTATTTGGCCTCTTCAGGAAACTCTTTCCCGCATTCTGGATAGATCTTTGTGACTGGCAATATCTAAAGCAGCAAACCAGATTTTTAAAAAATTTTTTTATTTTTGAAGTAGAGTACATTATACTCCGGAGGCAGAGGTAGGTGGAGCTCTGTGAGTTCAAGGCCAGCCTGGTCTACATAGTGTGTTCCAGGCCACCTGGGGCTACAAGGGGACCCTGTCGCAAAAAGACAAAAAACAAAACAAAATAAAATAAGCCCTTGCAAAATTCTGCATTAAAATATTATCTTTAAAAAAATCTTTAAAAAATATTTTTTATTATTTTTATTTTATGTGTACGAATGTATTGCCTGCATGTATGTGAGTGCACCCGTGTCGTGCAATGCCACGGAGGTCATAAGAGGGCTGCAGATTCCCTTGGAACTGGAGTTAAGGACCCACCATGTGGGTGCTGGGAATCGAACCCGAGTCCTCTGCAAGAGCAGTGTTCTAAACTGCTGAGCCATCTCTCCAGCCCCAAAATGTTATTTATCTTGTTCACTGCTTTTAGTGAGGCCCACTAGAGAGTTCCCCCTTAATTCCAGCCCTATTGTGCAAGACTTTGAATGATACGCTGAATAAGTTGGGTTAATTTATTACTTTTTGCTGTTTGAAGACAGGGTCTCTATAGGTAGTCTAAGTTGGCCTCTAACTTGTGACTCTCCTGCCTCAGTCTCCTGGGCAAACAGGTTGAATTTTATTCAAACTGTGCAGTGGCAAGCAGCCAGAGCCTTTTCTTCTAATTCCTTTTAGATCTTATGTATTTATTTTGTGTGTTCCTCTGTTTTGTTTTGTGTAGTTTGAGACAGCAGCTCTCTACACAACCCTGACTGGTCTCGAACTCGCTATGCAGACCAGGCTGGGCCTTGAGCTCACAGGGAGCTGCCTACTTCTGCCTCGGGAGTGCTGGGGTTAAAGGCGTGCACCACCATACCCGGTCTTACTTTATATTTTATTTTTATTATTTTATTTGGGTCTACGAAGACTGAGTCAAATCTGCGCTTGGGGAAGCATCTTAAATGGCTATGCCCGCAATCTGAGCCTTCGCCCTGCACACTCCGACGTCATCCTTCTCCGTTGCCGGGCGAGGAAGACTCCGGCACCTGTAGTCTGGGGAGGGGGCGGGGCGCATCCTCCACCTGCGCTCAGACTTTCGGTTTCCGGCCGACTTCCAGGCCCGAGAGTCGATCCCGAGCCCACAGCTCCGCTCCCACGGGGCGGAGCTTGCGCCTCGTCGCTCTCGGCCATCGGCTCGTGCTGCCTAGCCCCGGCGGCCGTCCAGCTGGAGGCGGAGCGAGCCCAAAATGGCGGCTCTCAGGCTGGCGCGCTCTGTGCTGCTGAGGCTTTGAGGTGGTCGCCCCGGGTCGCAAGGGGGACGATTTCCCCGCCGCGGGCCCCCCTAGAATGAATCGGGGGCTTTGCTGAGATCAGGCGGCGGGGCTGGAGAGCAGTGGCAGCAAAGGGCTGCGGTGGCGTCCACGCAGCGGGATGTGCGAGAGTTACTCCAGGTCGTTGTTGAGGGTCTCGGTGGCGCAGATCTGCCAGGCGCTGGGCTGGGACTCGGTGCAGCTCAGCGCCTGCCACCTCCTCACCGACGTGCTGCAGCGCTACCTGCAGCAGCTGGCCCGGGGCTGCCATCGGTACTCTGAACTCTGTGAGTACCCGGGCTGGGCGGAGGCAGGGCTGCCCCAAGCCGGTCACGAGTGACACTTCGGCCTCCCGGTCCCTCGGTCGGCGTCCCGTCCCGTGGTGGCGTTCCGAAGGCCGCCTCGCGGTGGGTGCTGGCCGGGATGCGCCGGCCCCGGGCTTCCAGCGTCCCCTGCCAACTCCACATCCCTTAGGTGCTCTTCCTCCTCCGCTAACTTCCCGCCAGCAGCCGGGGGGGGGGGGGGTCCCCGCGCCCGGCTCTAGCCGCCTCGCCTCTGGGCATCCCTGCGCGGGTGCCTGGCTCGCTCGCTCGCTCCGTCTCCCGCCGGCCAGAAGCATCCCCGAGGGCTCTCCCCGTCTCTCACCTTGGTCCTCGCCTCCCTCGCCCGCAAACTACTCCAACTAGTTGTCAGGCGCTCCGTCTACCGGCCGTTTCTCTCCAGGCTGGCCGTTCTTGAGCTCCTAACTGCACAGGCTCGTTGACAGCTCTGCTCTGTCGCCGCATCGCCCTTTTCTACTTCTAGGGGTCCATTGGTGTCGATTCCGCTGGTTAATCTTCACGAGCATTTCAGCTCCCGACTGACTTCCTCCTTGATGCTTTTATAGTCGGTGTTTATCGAAATGTGGTAGAGAAAACTATAGGGAATATGTAGGGTGGTCCGGGTAATCTGGGCTCCAGTATTTATTGACTTTTAAGTGCATGTTTCATAGTGTCTATAGCTGGTGGTGTTTAATAATTTGGAATGTTTCAGTTGAAGCCGCAGATCATTTTATTGCTGTGTGAAGCATGCATATGTGTATTTGTGTTGTGCTGAGGGTTATACCATTCATTTAAATTTCAGGAGATGACTTTTAAGTTAGTGGGCTGGAGAACTAAATGAAGTGTTTCAAATTTTGTTCTCTTAAGGTGGTTCCTACCTTTAAAAATTAAGACTCACTGTATTTCGTAGATTTAAGAAGAAAGCACAGCAGGAACATGCACAGGATTATGACAGCAATTAACGTGAGTTCCCTAGAGCAAGCGATAAGTAAATCTTAAAATCTAAGCAAGTCATAGATTCCAAATTCTGCTCCTGTCAAAATAATCTGACCATAGTACACATTAGATCCTGTCCATGGTATAAAGCTCATCCTGACAGTCATCTTTAAAAATTTTTCAATTGCGTTCCATTGGCAGCAGTTTAAAATTTAACCTTTTTTTTTTTTTTTAAAAAAAGATTTGTTTGTGTGTGTGTGTGTGTGTGTGTGCATGTGTGCATGTATGCCACATGCATGCCAGTGCCTGCAGAAGCCAGAAGAGAGTATCAGCCTGGAGCTAGAGTTACAGGCAGTTTGGAGCCTCCTGATGTTCTAGGAACTGAACTCAGGACCTCTGGAAGAGCAGGAAGTGCTTTTAAGCACTGAGCCATCTCTCCAGCCCCTAAAAATCTAAACTCTTAGCAGCACACAATTTATGAACTAGAATGAACTAGAGTTTTTCTTATCTTCTGCCAGCCTGCCATACTAATTTGCCACCACCCTGAGCTGCCTGCCTTTTCCAACTCCTTTGAAGGTATCTACTCCTATTTACACACTGTTTCACTGAGTATTCTTCTCTTCCTGATCCACCAGCAGTACAACTTACAGTTTAAGATTTACTTATTGCTTGCTGTAGGGAACTCATGTTATCTGCTATCATAATCCTGTGCACATTTCCGCTGTGCTCTTTATCATTTTGCTTTGTAATTGTATGTGTGTATCCTTTCCCAGGAGACAGATTGATTATATTCATATTTTGCACAGGTACCATGATCTAATTGTGACACAGGCGCACACCCTGGTTGTACTTGTATTATCCTAGTGTGGGGCCAAAATGTTATAGACATTGAAGAAATAGTTGTTCAATAAATGAATGAACTGATAGTCTACAACAGGATCTCTCTGTAGCCCCAGCTGTCCTGGAACTCACTATGTAGACCAGGCTGGCCTTGAACTCACAGAGATCCACCTGTCTCTGCCTCCCAAGTGCTGGAACTAAAGGTGTGTGCCACCACACCTGGCCTTTGACTGCGCTTTCTGAGTTCCTAAAATGTACTGTTTTACTTTTTCTTTGTTTTTGAGTGCTTGATTTTACTTTGAAGTTAGAAACTCCAAAGTGATATTCCTTCAGTGTCATTTTGAAAGTCTGCCAGCGGCAGAATATTCTCCTTTTGCTTCTTTTCCTTCAGGCCCCACCTCTGTTGTCTCTGAATATCCTGTTGCCATTATGGTTAGGACAGGTTGCTACCTAGTTCCCTAAGTAAAGACAGTACATCCTCTGGGTTCTCAAAATATCCCCTGAATACATAGTTACCTCCCTGCCTGGAAGTTCATGAAATTAGGCATTCCAAAGTGGTTAAGGGATCACTGTAGTGCTTAATTGAACCTTTTCCTGATTATCCAGTTTTTCTAATCAGTTTTCCCTTTTTAGTGAGTATGTGATTGTCACATTTATTACTCCTCATTTTGATTTGGTGACTGGTTAGCAATGTTCATTTAGACAGACATTTTTAGATTAGTTTTTTGTTCTCTCCATATTTTAAAATTGAATTTTGGAAACTCCGGTTATCATTATCCATCTTGTATCCACCCCTATAAATTCCCTTTGTATATATTTATTTTATTTATTATTTATTTATTTGTCTTTTTTGAGACATGGTTTCCCTGTAGCCCGGGCTAGCCTAGAACTCACAGAGATCCCCTGCCTCTGCCTCCCTAGTGCTGGGATTAAAGTCATCCTAGAATGTGCCACCACACCTGGCTTTATTTATTATTGTTATTTTGTGTGTTTGACTGTATTGCCTGCATGTATGTAAGTGCACCAGTGTTGTGCAGTGCCCACAGAAGTCAGAAGAGAGTATTGGATTCCTCTGGAACTGGAGTTACAGACGGTTGTTAGCAGCCATGTAGATGCTGGGAATCAAACCCGGGTCTTCTGCAAGAGCACCCAGTGCTCTTAACTGCTGAGCCATCTGTCCAGCCCTCTCTTTTATTTTTGACAAACATTTATTGAGCGCTACTTATAAGCCTTGTGCTGAGTGTTGTGAACATGAAGTTACCAAGATACAAATTGATGGCATGTGTTCCTTTTTCTAAAAACTCTCCTGAAGTTAAAGAGTTAGAAGTTATTATTAATTCAGCTAATAATGAATTTAAAAATTTTCCCCAGGTAGCAGTTTTTCTGTAGTATTCCAGAGCATTTCTTTCCTTCTTTCTTTCTTTCCTTCTTTCTTTCTTTCTTTCTTTCTGTTTTGTTTTCTTCCTTCCTTCCTTCCTTCCTTCCTTCCTTCCTTCCTTTCTTTCTTTCTTTCTTTCTTTCTTTCTTTCTTTCTTTCTTTCTTTCTTTCCGTCTTTTTGGTCTTTTTGAGACAAGGTCCCCCTGCAGCCCCAGCTGGCCTGGAACTCACTATGTAGACCAGGCAGGCCTTGAAATCACAGAGATCTGCCTGCCTCTGCCTCCCAAATGCTGGTACTACAGGTGTGTGCCACCACGCCCGGCCAGAGCATGTATTTCTTGATGTGTGTGTGTTATATATGAAGTATGTATGGAAACACTGAAAATGGGTAAATCTTTCAGAACGATTCTTGAAGACCAGCACTCTAAATTATTTCATGGTACCAACAGTAAATACAATATGTGTACAAAGGGGAGTGATTTTAGCTATGGATTCCAGGGTAGGATTGCTTTGAAGAAAAAAGGTAAGATTTGAGTTGAGCTGTGAGGTATGGTTGTATAAAAGTGGAGAGAATTCTGGGTCAGAAACAGCGTAAAATAAGATGTGAGAGCTAAAAGTGCCCAGTAAGAGTGATCAGCTTGCCACGTGTAGCTAGTTCATTGGAAGAATATTCGAGGATAATATTCAGGAGTGAAATCAGGTAATCGAGGGACACAAGGCTTTACAAAAGGAGGCTAATACAGGGGAATTGCTGAGGACTCAAGGCAGGCTTGGGCTCCCTAGTTAAGTTCCAGGCCAGCCTCTGCTATGTGATGAGACCTTGACTCAAAACAAAACAAAACGAAACAAAACAGCAACAACTTTACAAAAGAAATAAAGTATGGGCCAGTCATGGTGGCATACACCCTGTAATCCGAACATGGAGGAAGATTGCATGTTCAAGGCCAGCAATATAGAAGACAGGAGAGATATAGGAAGGGAAGAAATGTAATTTTTAAAAAAAGCAAAGAATATTTCATGCTCCTAAGTAGGGAAATATTCTGATAAAAGTGATATTTTAAGAGCTGGGCTTGGTGGCACCACACCTTTAGTCCCAGCACTCAGGAAGCAGAGGCAGCCGGATCTCTGTGAGTTCAAGGCCAGTCTGGTCTGCATAGTGTGTTCCAGGACAGCTGTGGCTGCAGGGAGACCTTGTCTCAAAAAGACAAAAACAAAACAAAACAAAACAAAAAAAAAAGTGATATTTTAAGAAAATTGTACCAACAGTGAAGTGTCAGATTCAAGTAGGTAGAACTTGAAGCTACAGTTGTGCCCACTTATCTCCACTTTTACCTCTAAAATTCCCCTGAGCTGGGCATAGTAGCTCACATCTGTGATCCCAGCATACAGAAGGCTGTTTGAGGATAGCCTGTGCTACATGATGAGTTCCATGTCTGTGAGAGCTATATTTCTAGACTCTGTCTCAACAAACTACCCAGCCAACCAAACAACAACAAAACTTTTAGCTAACCCAGTCATGGATAGACTATTATAAAAATAAACATTTCATAAATCTTGAATAACTTTATAGAGTATATTGTGATTTTTCTCTTTAAGTATTAGATGTAATGTCTTATATGCCCAATGTATAAATTATTGTAATTGTTATTTAAAGCAAAACTATAGTTTATATAGGGTTTGGAACTGTCCAGGTTTCTGGCATCCATGGGATGGGCGGGGGAATATACCCTCCATAGATAAAGGGGGAATCACTTTTTGCTGATTTAGTCATAGAAGGCGTGCAGACTCAGGAAAGAAAAAGGGGAGCGTCACA